TAGATATGTGACAAGCCCAGTGATGGGTATTAAAGAGGGCACGTATTGCATGGGGCAATGGGTGTTATACACAATGAATCATGGAACACTACCTCAAAAACTAATGTTGTACTGTATGGTCACTAACAATAAAAAAATGACAATACCTAATCACATAATTTTTTTTTTTTTTTTTTTTAAAGATTTTGAGAGAGTGAGTGAGCATGAGAGGGGGCAGGGAGGAGGGAGAAGCAGACTCCCCACTGAGCAGGGATCCTGATGCAGAGCTCAATCCCAGGACCCTGATATGACCTGAGCCGAAGGCAGACGCTTAACTAACTGAGCCACCCAGGTGCCCCAATTTGTCCAATTTTTTTTTTTTAAAGCTTGGGTGATTTTTTTTTTTTTTTAGAGTTTTTGGAATTCTTTATTCTGGATACAAGTTCTTTATGATTAATGATTTGTAAATATTTTCTCCCAGTCTATAATTTATCTTTTAATTTCCTTTCACAGAGAAAACATTTTCAGTTTTTATAAAGTTCAGGTTTTATAAAACTTTTTCCTTTGATGGATTGCACTTTTGATGTCATGATATAAAAATTAATATTTTCAAACCTAAAATACAGAATTCCTATTTTCTTCCGTGTTATAGTTTTATATTTTACATTTAGTTCTATGATCCATTTTGAGTTTTTTAATGTGTCAGGTGTGTCAAGGTTCATTTTGTTGCGTATGGATGTGCACTTCCCAGCACCATCTTTGAATCTTTGTTGAAAAGATTCTCTCTCCACTAAGTTGCCTTTGCACCTTTGTTCAAACTCAGCTGACTCCATTCATGTGGGTATATTTCTGGACTCTTTCTGTTCCACTGACCTAGGTATGAGTCCTTTCACCAATACCCATAGTTTTGATTACTGTTCCTTTCGACTAAGCCTTGAAATCACATAATGTGAATCATCTAAGTCTGTTCTTTTAAAAAAAAAAAATTGTTTTGGCTATTTTAGGTCCTTTGCCTTTCCATGCGGATTTTATTTTTTTTAAAGATTTTATTTATTCATGAGAGAGAGAGGCAGAGGGAGAAGCAGGCTCCCAAGGAGCAGGGAGCCCGATGTGGGACCCGATCCCAGGACTCTGGGATCATGACCTGAGCTGAAGGCAGAGATGCTTAACCATCTGAGCCACCCAGGTGCCCTTCCATGCAGATTTTAGAATCAGCTTGTCAATAGTGTCTACACAAAGCTTGTTAGGACTTTGATTTGGGTTGTGTTGAACAAAATGGGAGAACTTAACAGTATATTAAGAATACTGAGGGGTATCTGGGTGGCTCAGTTGGTTAAGTGTCTTACTTTTGCTCAGCTCCTGATCTTGGGGTCCAGGGATTGAGCCCTATATCGGGCTCCCCACTCAGTGAGGAGTCTGCTTGTCCCTCTCCCCCCTGCTTATGCTCGCTCCGTCTCTTCTCATATAAAGAAATCTTTAAAAAAAAAAATTCTCTAATCCTTGACTACAGTATATCTAATTAGATCTTCTCTGACTTTAAGTATTTTATGCTTTAGTTCTCAGATATAGGTCCTATACATAGATTTATACCCAGTATTCCTTTTATTTTTTTAGTGCTACTATAAATTTAGTACATTTTTTTAAGTTCCAGTTAGTCCTTGCTGGTAATACAAGAATAGAATTTTCTTTTGTATACTGACCTTGCTTCTTGCCATCCAAGATTCAGTTAGTTCTAGGAGCTTGTCATTTCTTTGGGATTTTCTACAGAGAGGTTATCTTTGCCACACGTTTGTGGCAACTCTGTGTTGAGCAAGTCTTTTGGCACAGTATTTTCAACAGCATTGTTTCACTCTGTCATTTTGGTAATTCTTATAAACTATGTCATATTTACTGTGATCTGTGATTAGTGATCTTTGACATTACTATTGTCATTGTCTTGGCGCACCATGAACCATGCCCTTGTAAAATGGTGAACTTAATTGATAAATGTTGTATTATGTTTAGAGTCAGTTTCATTTCTTCCTTCCCAATTTGTATGCTTTTTCTTTTAGTGAAGTAGCTAGGAATCCAGCACAGTGTTGAACAGAAGTGGGACATCCTTACCCCATTACTGATTTTAGGGAAAGAACATTTACTGTCATAAATGATTCATTAAGTGTGATGTTAGTTGGTTTTTTTATACATGGTCTTTATTTTACCTGTATATTTTAAGTTCCACCTTTTTCTTCCAATCCTTATTTTTTTGTGCCTATATTAAAATGCTGACTCCCAGGACAGACAATGGCAACCTGCTTTTCATTATCTAACGATAGAAGCATACTTTGTTTTACTGCACTTTGCAGGGACTGCATTTTTTACAAATTGAAGGTCTGTGGCAGTTCTGTTGAGCAAGTCTCGGCGCCATATTGCCAACACCATTGGCTCACCTTGTGTCTCTGTGTCACAGTTTAGTAGTTGTCAACAATATTTTAAACTTCTTACATTATGTTACGGTGCTCCGTGATCTTTGACGTTACTACTGTTAACTAACTGTTCTGAGGCAGCATGAACTGGGCCCGTGTAAGACGGCACATGTACATGCTGTGTCTTCAGGCTGCACCACTAGCCCGTGCTGGTCCTCTGACCTCCTGGCTCCCCGAGACTAAACAATGTTGAAATGAGGCCAACCAATAACCCTACAATGGCCTCCAAGTGAAAGGAAGATTCCTATGATGTCTCACTTTAAATCAGAAATGATTGGGTTTAGTGAAGCAGGCGTGTCAAAAGCCAAGACAGCTTTTGCCACACAGCCAAACTGTAAATGCGAAGAATAATTCTTGAAGGAAATTGAAAACGCTACTCCCCTGGGGCGCCTGGGTGGCTCAGTCAGTTAAGCATCTGCCTCAGATCATGGTCCCAGAGGCCTGCGATCAAGCCCCGTGTCAGGCTCCCCGCTCAGCAGGAAGGCTGCTTCTCCCTCTCCCAACTCGTGTGTTTGCTCTCTAATAAATAAAACCTTTTTTAAAAAAACTGCCGCTCCGCTGAACACATGAAGAACGCGAAACAGCCTTATCGCTGATAACGGAGAAAATTTTAGTGGTCTGGATAGAAGATCAAACCAGCTACAACAGTCCCTGAAGCCAAAGCCTAATCCAGAGCAAGGCCCTACTTCTTCAATTTTGTGAAGGTTGAGAGCGGTAAGGAAGCTACCGAGGAAAAGTCTGAAGCTAGCAGAGGTTGGTTCATGAGGCTTAAGGAAAGAAGCCATGTCCTTACCATCAAAGTGGCAGGTAAAACAGCAAGTTATCCAGATCTCCTAAGCTAATCAGTGGTGGCCACACTAAACAACAGATTCTCAATGCAGCGAAAACAGCCTTGTTTGGAACAAGATGCCATCTAAGACTTTTACAGCTAGAGAGAAGTCAAGTGTCTGGCTCCAAAGGACAGGTTGCCTGTCCTGTGAGGGGCTAATGCAGCTGGTGACTTTAAATAAAAGTCTGTGCTATAGAAATGGAACAACAAAGCCTGGAGGACAGCACATCCGCTTACAACGTGGTTTACTGAATATTTTAAACCCACTACTGAGACCTACTGCTTAAAAAAAAAAAAAAGATTCCTTTCAAAATAGTACTGCTTGTGGGCAATGCACCTGGTTAAGCCACCAGCTCTGGAGATGGACCGCCAGATTGTGGTTTTCATTCCTGCCAACACAACATCCATTCTGCAGCCCATGGATCAAGGAGTAATTTCGACTTTCAAGCCTTATTCTTTAAGAAAAATATTTTGTAAAACCAGAATTGTCAGAGATGGTGCCTCCTCCGATGTGTCCAGGCAAAGTAAGCCTGGAAAGCATGCTCCATTCTAGATGCCATGAAGAACATGCAGGAGTCATGGGAAGAGGTGAAAATAATCACCATTAACAGGAGTTTGGAATAAGTGGATTCCAGACCCCATGGATGAGTCTGAGGGGTTGCAGACCTCAGCGGAGAAGTCACTGCGGCAGAAACAGCAAGAGAACTGGAATTAGAAGTGAAGCCTGAAGACAGGACTGAGCTGCTACCATCTTGTGATCAAACTTGAAGGGATGAGAAGTTGTTCCTTACGGATAAGCAAAGAAAGTGGTTTCTTGAGATGGACTCTACTCCTGGTGAGGATGCTGTGAAGACTGTCAAAATGGCAGCAAAGGATTTAGAATATGACATGAGCTTAGTTGATAAAGCAGCAGCAGGGTTTGAGAAGACTGACTCCAATCCTGAAACAAGTTCTGTGGCTAAAATGCTGTCAAAGAGCATAGGTGGTAGGAGAAATCACTTGTGAAAGGGAGAATCAATCTGTGGCAAACTTTATTTCTTTTAAGAAAAGGCCACAGCCATCCACATCAAGACAGGATCCTCCACCAGCAAAAGTCCAGCTCACTGAAGGCTCAGATGATAGTTAGCATTTTTTAAGGTATGTACATTGTTTTTTGAGACCTAATGCTATTGCACACTTAAGGCTTCAGTATAGTACACATAACTCTTATAGAAACAGAGAAATAAACTCAGCTGACTCACTGAACTGTGGTATTTGCTTTATTGCACTGATCTGGAACTGAACCTGCAAATCTCCAAGGTACGCCTGTGTTTGCATCTGTAAGATTCACCTACTACTCCAACCAAAACAAAACATGGGTTTTTATAATAGGCTTTAATTTTCCTTAAAATATAGCTTCCTTACTAAACTAAAACTAAGCATCTTTCATACCATTTTGATTCTTCATAGTTTGAATGATGGAATCTCTGTTACTTGATCATTTTAAAGAGTTGTTTATGTGGACCAAGTCACGCTGTTTACCATGATTCAAACCTTCTGAGAAGTTCAGGAGCAGCCTAGGACTTTGCAGGTGTTTTTGAAGGCTGGAATTGTCCTGCTTCAAATTTTTCTTTGAACTTTAAGTAGTCTCTTCTTTTATCAAAATATTTTATCTGTTGAGAAAAAAGTGTTTGAAATAAGGGCAAGTTTTACAGCTTAAACGAAGGCACAGATTTAAATGTAACAAATTATTCAACATAAGTTGAGTAAGTGGCCTAAGTGATTTGTATTCTAGAATCATTCTGAATCAGGTCATACAATGTATGAGAGTTTCCAAAGATGGTGTAGACCAGTGAGCCCTAACCTGTTCTGGGTTAAAGAGCCTATGGAGAATTCAAGTAATCCATGAACCTTCTCCTCGAGAAAGGTTCCTGTGCTTGGACATGTGAACGTTGCCGTGTGGGCTCAGAGTTCGTAGGCCATAAAACTTCATGATTTAAAGACACTATACAAGTTTTTCTTATCGACTGTTAAGTTCAATAAGTTTTGTAGTTCATCAGCTATGATCAAGTTTATCTCATCCAGAAACACACAATTGTGACAGATGGTTAATTATATTTATAAACTATGAATGAGTGGATAAAACTTGAGTAAATTAAAGACTTCATCTTATTTATATCCTCTTGCCATAGGGAATCTGAAGTATCTTAAAGCCCCATATTCTGAAACAGTAAAAGTACAGTAGAAAATCAGGGTCACAAACAAAACCGTCAAGTGTCTATATAGGTGCTGCTTTGCAGACAAGGCAAAGGCAGACCACCACACATTTTCACTGTCAGGAGAAAAAAAAACACTAGTTTTGTTAAAAGCTTTTCTTAGGATTTAATTCTTAAATTAGTCAGTGGAGCCTAAGTGAAAATTAGACTGAGCACGTACACTTGCATCTGCAGCTGGCATGAGAGACAGATAAGCCGGCTGCAGAGCTAACACTTCTCCCAGGGATACGACAGCCATGGAAGGTCCTCACAGTCCCCTCTGAGGGACTAGGGCTTTCATACTGACCAAGAACCCTTGTCCTCAAACCACAGACTATCGGAAATTTGCTCTTGGAGGTTACAGCAATAAAAATGAAACATCCTACCTTTGCCTGGAGGATCCCAGGCAACCTAACACAAAGAAGCAGCCTTGATTTCCAGCCCAGGAGCAGGATCTCAAATATCTTTAAGAAAATAGGACCCCGGGTCCCTTCTCAGTCCAGAGCTGACAATGACCTGTTTATTGCAGCCCTGCTTTGAACTTCTCGAAGCACGGCTTCATTTCACTTTTACGTACTTCCACCCCACCCCTAAATCCTCGGAGGACTCCTTTCCTGTGCCCGGTGAGATGCCCACAGCTCCTCTGGTGTGTGGTCTCCATGATACCAGACTACAGATTTACCCCGGTGGCTGGGATGGGTGTTCTGCATACAAGGTGCCACAGGAAGAAGTGGACGGCGTCCGGATCTTTGTGACAGATCCTGTCACATCTCCCAACTGCCTGACCGACAATTCCGTGTAGATGTCCTACCAGCACATTGGCCCCAGCTCGGCCCGAACCAAGCTCATCTTCAAACGCATTTCTCCTCTAATACTCCTTTCAGTGAACGCACCACTGTCCACCTAAACCCTTCGATCCCACTCCCTCTTCCCTACAGGCCCTCATTTCTCACTCGGATTATCGTAACAGGACTTGAACTCGTTTCTCTCCCCTCCTGAATCCATCGGTCACACCACTGCCAAGTGGGATCTTTTCAAAACACAAATCTGATCGTGTCCATTGCTGGAGGCTCTTTCTGGGCATCCCTACAGACTGTAAGATCAACATCCAAACTCCTCAGCAAGACAAACAAGTCCATTCATGGCTTAATCTCTGCCCACCTGTCCGTCCGTTCTGAATCTGCCACCGGCCCTGGAAATGCTGGCCATCCAGAGCTGCTCCAGGTCCCGGATGGGCTGCTTTCTCGTGCGTCATGCTTCCCTGCCTCTGCGGGGACCACACTCCACCTGAACCGCTCCCCACCCCAGCCCTCCCTCCTCAGTTAGCAGGCAGGGATCCTCAGCACGGGGGGCCTGCGCTCTCCCTCTCCGGGCTCACGAGCCAACGGGCACGTGCGGAGGACTGTGTACGTGGGATGCTAGCATCCTCCACGCACTTACAGGAGATGCAAGACAGTACTGCGAACGCCAAAACGCTGGGGTTTCTGAAATTGATACTGGGATCAAGTCTCTTGGATGATGCTGGAATGATTGATGGATCTCAACCCTGCTCCCTCCTCAGCAATGAACCAACAGGAGACTTTTCAGTCGGCCTATCACATAGGTTAGGCTGATGAGCACCATAAAAGCAGCAAAGCATCAGAGAAGAGTAATTCGTTCTGGTGACACCCAGCATTTTAGTTTGTATGTAACAAAGCTGTACTTGCTGCTTAGCTGACCTTGAACAAGTCACTTCACCTGAGCCTTGGTTCCTACTGTGTAAAACGGACACAAAAGTACTCAGAAGATGGAATGAAAATTAAAGCTAATAAAAAATGCCTCACACAGAACAGACCCAAGGGATACTTCCTTTTCTGACCCCCTTCCCCCATGGGCTTCCCCACCTTCTCACACGGCTCTGGAAAAATCTTTCCGTTTCTCGTCTCTGGCTACCGGGGAAGATGTCAACAGGCAATCCCTGAGCAGAGCACACAGGTGGGGAGGGAGCAGGCTGAGCGCGAACAGCCCTGCCGAGGAACACAAGGGTTGGCAACACAACACCGTCAGATGCTGAAGTCAACTGGAAGAGTCTGCTACGCCACCCCGCTCCCTCCTCTGGTGGGGTCGGCTAGCGCTCGGCAGCCTGTGCCCCCTTCTCCACCAGTACTCCTGTCCTAAAGCCTGGGTGGCTGTCCACGCGGTCAGGCCTCTCGGCTCCCTGGCCTCTTCAGTGGTCTCGTCCTCCGACCTGTCTTGCTCCCAGGATCAAAGCGTAGGCCGTGGCCTTCCCGATGAATACAGCTTTTCCGTAATCCCAATTCTGAGCAGCCACCTCTTCCCTTGCCCTGTAGGACCCTGTTGCTGACAGCCTGAGCCCACCACGTATTCACAGACTCCCTCTGTATCCTCGCAGCTCTCCTTCCTGTGGAACTCAAAACTCTCCAGTGGCTTCCTGTAGCACTCAGAGTAAACGCCACCGCGCCTGGCCTCCCATCCCTCTCTGACCCGGACGTCCGCCCCTCTCTCCTCGCTGTTCCTTAAACACACTGGACCTGCCGCCACTGGAGGGCTGTTGTGTTGTCCCACTTCCCTGCTGAGGATGCTCATCAAGCAAGCCCCGCAATGAAGGCTGAGGCCCTGGGCTCTGGGGCTGTGTTTGTGCTGGTGTCTTTCACTGAGTAATGGGAGGAGAGGCCTGCTGGGTACGGGATGGGGAAGAGTTCAGACTTGTATATGCAGAGGTCAAGGTTGGTCCTGTGAACATCTAAACCTGTTGAGACAGCTCAACAGGTGCCTCTGGAGTTGGAGAAAGGGCCAGGCTGGAGCTGCGGACGAGGCATCAACACCTGAGACCAGAATGCCTTGGGAGCGCGAACAGCACAGCAGACCATTGGCATGAACAGCCGCACAGGACAGCTCTGTACCAGGCGTGGCCGCTAGCCGAGCAGGAGGAAACTAGGGCAGGGACTCAGAGGCACCCAAGGAGATCGGGCTTCTGTATTTAAATAGACTACACTTATGACTAAGTTTCTAGGACACCATGAGGCTTGTGCAGGCTATTTTCATGGATCCTGTTCTTGCATGACAGGCACAGGAAGGAGAATGTGGAGAAGGGAAAAGCATGGGGTCTGGACTCAACGCTCCCGAGCTCAAATCCAGCTTCTCCGCTTACAGGTGACTTAGTTTCAATGCGCCCGTGTCCTTGTCTGCAAAACTAGGTGCACGAGAAGAGCGGAGGTGGAGGGCACATCTGAAGTGCCCAGAGCACATACTCAGTAAATGAGCTGCGAGCAGGACACAGTAACCTGGAGAGTGGGCTGGCCCTCAGCCAGGCTCCCAGTGGGAGGGACAGAGAATAAAGCAGCAGCCCCTTATGACGAGAACAGAAGCTGCCCCGAAAGAAGGGGAGTGGGAGGGGCTGCTAATCACCAGGCTGGAGAGAAAGCAGTGGGTTTCCGAGGAGAGGGGTGGGGGGGGGATAAAAACAGGACGGAAGCGTGACTTTCCAAAGGGGCTAAGACGGGGATGGCCAGCCACGGTTATCGGGGTCACCTGTAGAGTCAGAGCTGTTTCCAAAGCTCGGGTTCTATCTCCAGACATTCAGTCAATCTGAGGTGAGGTCTGGGACACAGCTCTTTAAAAAAATCTCCACCTGATTATCACATGTCACCTGAGTGGAAAATCAAAAACCATGATTTTCCTGTCAAAAAAAAAAAAAAAAAAACAGGTCTCCCAGGGACAAAATTCTCCTGAGAAAATGCGGGGGTAGGGTGAGAACAGAACCCACCAACACCCAGGCCCCCAGAGTTCCTGCCCTGTTCTCAGCTCCACCCTGTTCTCGGTGACCACAGGGCCAGAGAGCCCAGCGAGAAGGGGACACCACAGGCAGGAAAGGTATCAGGACCCTAACGGACCCAGGTCTGAGTCAGCCCAAGCTCCCACATTCTCCACCTACTTCTTAAACCAAGAGTTATTCTTGGTGCATCAGTCCTAACGGGAAAACCAGGGATGTGTAATATTTTTTGCCTAAATCATGACACAATCCAATCACAAAACCCCACATTGATCATGTTTCTATTTATATGTCAAGTTAGACACGGAGTCTTCACAGGAATCCCACGAGATAGGTTGCATTCTGCTGGTCTGACAGGTGCAGAGCTCATCTAAAGCACGTTCTCCCGACTGCACTCGCTCCCAGCCCAGCCCCCCTCCTGTGACCTCAGCCTTCCAGTGCGGTCTCCTGCACACCTCCGGCCCCTCATCCAAAAATGTGGGGTGTGACAGGGAAGACCCTAAACCACGTCCTCTCTAAGATGAGCTGTTCTCACAGCTGTCTGGTATACTTGCAGCAGCATGATGGAGTGGGAAAGCACAAATTCAGGTTCAGAGCTTCCATCAGCCAGCTGAGCCTGACTTAGAATGACAGTTCTGCCACTTACTGACCAATACTGAGCAAGTTATTTCAAGGCCCTGACCTTAAGATGCCTCCTCCAGAAACTGCGAGCAAACCACCCATCTGAAAGGATACTGATATAGGAGGGTCAGGCACTTAGGACAGGACAATTTACTGAGCTCAACGTTCCGTTCCTTTTCCAGCCCACTCCCAGACTAGGGCCAGGCAGCACACGGCAGGAGAACTGTCAGGGAGGCATCTGGGGCAGCTGGTGACTGAACCCATCACCCGAACATCCTCCTACTTCCTAAACTATTCTCATATTTTGAGTAAATGACCATATGATTTTGGGTGGGCAACAGGGAATGCTTTAATTCTGATAGCAGCTCTAGGCCAATGAGTTTGCCAACTCTTGCCCAAGATTAAATATTGTTCTTAAGATCCTGGAGAAATCGACCAACTTAGCGGGTTGGAATTGTTGGGTTACTTACAGGTTTCCAGTGATCTTTAAAGCATCAGGTGACATTTCCCAAATGTCTGCCTGATAGAAGAACATAAAACAAAGTCGGATTACCAGGCAGGGGTTTCTCTGCTGCTCACACAAACTAGATCTGCGGTGCCCCCCACGCCGGTGCTTCATCTCCCAGCCTACCACGCACACTGTAAGCTCTACGCATTTGAACAGCGAACAGAAGCCCATCGGAGCGTGCCTTACCCACTGCTGGGGACAACTGGATTCAAATGAGCTTCTTAACTTCTTGCACTGAGAAGCGTCCTCTGTGTTCTCATCTAAACACTTCCAGTATTCATCCCGGGCTCCCCAGCAAGCCTGTCTTTCTTTCATAGACGGGGCTGCCATTCCTAGTGGGCTCAAGCTGTCGGCCAAAACAACAGTTGATGTTAACGAGGCACTTATCGTTTCAGAGAAGGCAAGGCACTGACACTCTCGTTCCTTCCCATCCCCCCTTTCTCACAAGTTCTACCTCGGGATTTTAACGACGCAGTTGAAATCCATCAGTTCTAAGTTAACGACACCTGGAGACCACTCGTCTCCTACACTGTGCAGGGGGGGCCCCCAGCCTGGCGGCGGCTTGGTCTCACGAAGCCCGAGCTGGAACTACGGCTCCCTCACAGTCCTGTCACTCGGAGCAGCTCCTTCATCCTCTCGAGCTTGTCTCCCCACCCGTAAAACGGGGGTAAGCAGGGCCCATTTTACAAGGTTGCCGTTCGAACCAAACTGCTCTACAAATAAGTACACGGGGTCAAAGTGACCCAGCAAGGGCCAGGAGTGCTACCCAGGTGTGCAGAGGAACGCGAGGCGCGCGGAGTCGGCGACCGCCCGGGGCCACATTGCACCACGCACGCCCGCCGGGCCCCACCGGCAAGCCGACCGCTCGCCCTCGCCCGCCCGGCACCAGGTTCCCCGCGGCGCCCGCGGGAGGAAAGGGTCACGAAACCCAACAAACTGGGGGCGGGGGCGGGGCGGAGGGCCCGGTGCCGAGTCCTGGCGCCCGGAGGCTCGCCTCGCCCGCGGGGGATCAAGCAGCGTAGAACTCACCACCCCAAGGAGGCACTTCACGCAGCGAATCAGCCCGCCTGCTTGGAGTGACCCTTACGCGAGCCCGTTCACCCTTCACGGGGGGGGCGGGACTTCCGGCTCCGCGCTCTCTCCTATTGCAGCGACTTCCTGCTGGGCGGGCGAGGGAGGCGGTGCCTGGGGGCGTGGAGGTGGAGAGTGGGTGGGGCTCTGTCGCGGCTCTGAGCCGCCTCAACCTTACCGGTGGGTCCATGCCTCTATCCCCGAGGCTTTTAACAACCGTGAGGGACTGTGCTCCTTTCGTGAATCTAAATTTCTATGTGTATTTCACCCAGCGCCGCCTGGAAGGCTTGACTTTCGAGTCCTGCCGGACAAGGCGGTTTGGGGTGGAAATTTGCACCGAGGGATGAGCGCTAGACGGAGTGGTTAAAGGTGACAGCTGAATCGCAAGCTTCCTAGATAGAGATATGTAGAGAGGGAGAGGAAGAAAGATGGGGAGAGGGGGAGAGATGGGGGGGAGGGAGGGAGGGAGAATGGGAGGTAGAGGGAGGAGGGAGGGAGACACACACGACCCAGGAGATTTGGCAAGTAAGTGAACCAAGCTGCAAACCCGAGGCCTTGAGCTCCTAGTCCTCTGGTTGAGATTTCATCCTGGTACATTTCTCAACATCATCACCTTACCTTGAACCCTTGCTGCTTGCTTCTGTGGATGGAAAATGTCCTTTTAGTTGGTATTTGGAGACATCTAGTGAGAGAGAATGTGAAAGCAAAGTCCCATTCTGCTGAGATGTGATAGTTAAAATATGATCCTGGTTAGAGTTTACAGATAGGATCTGTGGACTTGGATCTGAAACTCTGGAAGGTAATTCAAATTAGTCAGGAGAATGGAGAAAATAAATATTCGCATTTTTGTTTTAATCTTACTCGTGGGTTTTTTTTACTCTCCAAACACCAAGGTGTTCCCTCACAGTCCTGTCACTTGGAGCAGCTCATTTATCCTCTGGAGCTCGTCTCCCCATCTGTAAAACGGGGGTAGCAGGGCCCATTTTACAAGGTTGCCGTTTTAAGGAATTTTTTTTAAAAAAGGAATGAAAAGAGCTGCTCCAGGTATTTTGAAAGGATGCTATTTCTAATACATAAGCAAGTTAATATGTCTGAGTAGAATCTTTAAAAGCACGTTTGTGGATAAAGCTCAGTCGGTCCTCTGGTGTCTGGTTCTCTTAACAGATTCCATGTGCATCATCTAGTCCTGTTGAAGTTCTAAAGTGCTTATAAAACTGAAGAGCACCCTACAGCTCTGCAGTCAGTGCTGGTGTTTGATCCTTTCCAAATTAAATATATGCAGATTTTCAGAGTGGCTATGTGAAGCTAAGTACCACCAAACATATGTTCTACAACATGAAAAGTATTCCTGTAAGTTAGTGGACTCTATAAGATAGTAGAATGCTTTATCTTTAGCAGAGGTGTTCATTTCTTTTACACTATGTCTACCAAGGGCAGTTTATATAAAGATAATGTCTTCTAAATGAAGGGGAGTAAGTCGGAGGGGGAGATGAACCATGAGAGACGATGGACTCTGAGAAACAAACTGAGGGTTCTAGAGGGGAGGGGTGTGGGGGGATGGGTTAGCCTGGTGATGGGTATTAAAGAGGGCACATTCTGCGTGGAGCACTGGGTGTTATGCACAAACAATGAATCATGGAACACTACATCAAAAACTAATGATGTAATGTATGGTGATTAACATAATAAAAAATTATTTAAAAAAAAGATAATGTCTTCTAGGTATGACCAATGAGATATAAAAAGGATGAAAAGAGTCTTGGATGACTTCAGAGTTGAAAAAAGAAATACATTTAAAATTTTAAGTTTATATGTACTAAACGATAAATATATAAAATAAAGTGAAACTTGACTGAATTACAAAGCAAAAAGTATAGTCATATTAGGTTACTTTAATAAGCCTTTCTCAGTGGTTTTTAAAACAAAAGAAAAATCAATAAGGATATAGAAAATGTGACTAACATGATTAATAAACTTGACCTAATGAATATACACAGAGCATAACCAAAATTAGAATGTACATTTTTTTGAAAGCAAACAGGGCACCATCCCCAAATCAACTGCATACTTACCTGTAAAGCAACTCTCAACAAATTTTAAAGATTGAAATCATTCAGCACATGTTTTTTGACAATTATGCAAATAAGCTAGAAATCAATAAAGAATTATAACAAATCCATATAAACCCTAGTTAGAGGAGTCATAATGATAATGAGAATATATTTTGAGCTGAACAAGAAAATACAATAGCAATGACTGTGGGATGCAGCTAAAATAGGACTTTAGAGGAAAATTCATAGCCCAAAGTATATTAGAAAAGAGGCTAAAAAGCCTTTAGCTAAACATCCCTTTTCAAGAAGTCAGAAAAAGAGAACAAAATTAAAGAAAGTAAAATGACAGAAATAATATTAAGAGCAGGAATGAATGAAATGGGAAACAAAAGTAATGTGCCAGAGACCGTCTGTACTGGTACAGGAGAGCAAATTGTGCATACCTCTCCCCTACTCCATGGCCACTAACATCAAATTAGTGGCTTGAAATTGTCCATGATGATAGTATTCACTCCAAGGAAATCAACAAACAGGCTGGTGTTTTGTTTTATGTTCGGAGCCAATCTACTAGCAGACCACTGCATACAATGGATTAAAAATCTAAAAGTTGATTCTTTAGAAAACACTAATAAAATTGTTAGTATTGAACAATACAAGGAGAGATGTTAACCTATATCAGTAATGAAAACCACAGACATCAAAAAAGTTAGGACATCTTATGAACAATTTAATGCAAATAAAATTTAGGTAAATGCACAAATTTCAAGAAGAACACAACTGGCTGACTCAAGAGTAGAAAATAGGAGTCTTCCTAAGCCATAATTTAAATCAGTAGTAAAGAATCTTCACATGCAAATTCCAGGTCCACGGCTCCACCACTAAGTTCCTTTAAACTTTGAAATAATTCCATCCTTATGTATGAGGCTGCCATAACTTCTGTACTAATTATAAAATCCCCATACTTCTGAAACACCAAATTCTTTGGAACTCATTAGGTGAAAAATGTGATTCAGTGACATGAAGCTCTTTCTAGTCATTATTTATATATTACTTAGGTGACTACATGTGTTTTGCTGCAGAAATAGTAATGTTTGAATGTTGGTTTTTGAGTAGAGGTGCTCTTCCAGTTCTTGTTGAAAGTATTACATAAATATGCTATATGTGTTCCCTAGTACTTTTCCAATGTCCAAAAAAGTCTGTATTCCAAAACACATCTGGCTCCAAAAATTTCAGATAAAATGCGTGGACCTACAGAAGAATGTTTCGTGACTTTGGGGCCAAGAAGAATTTTTTTTTTTTTTTTAGCCATAAAGAAAAAGATCAATGAATTCAACTACGTTAAAATTAAGGACTTTTGTTTACCAAACAATACCATAACTCGAATGGAAAAGACAAAACCACAATGTGGGAGGAGTTTGTAAAACAAAGAATTGGTACCCAGGATATATAAAGAACACTTAACGAATCAATAAGAAAGAGAAAATGTATTTTTTAAAATAGGCAAAAGGCTTAAATAGACACAGCACCAAAGAGGAAATACAAATGAGCAATGTAAGAAAGTACCACAGACGTGAACATTCAAATCACAGTGCAACACTGTTAGACACCAACCAGACCCAAGAATAATTAAAAAGTCTGACAGTAATGAAAAGATACAGAGGGACAGAGAGAATCTCAAACAGACTCCCTGCAGAGCGTGGAGCCCGACATGGGGTGGATCCCACGACCCTAAGATCATGACCTGAGTGGAAACCAAGAGTCTGATGCTCAACCATCTGCGCCACCCAGGCGCCCCTATACGTCACAATTGTTAAACAGAGTAATTGTTTAGTCTGGAAAAGGTCTTTAGTACACAGAAAGGTAAAAATGATCATACAGACCATTTATAAGGCGATCACTAAATTCTTAACAGATTTAACATTTTATGTGCTCTAAGTCAAAACTCAATAGTCGTCCATGCTGTCACCCGTACAATTAAGCACTTCCTACTGGTCAGCGGTACACCTAAGGCGCAGACACTGAAGAATTACTGAAGAGGTTTGAAACAGAGCAAGAACGGTCCCCACCCTTACCTCCAAGGAGGTCCGGGGTGCACCAACTGAGAAACACGGGTGTATCCAACAGCGCAAAAACCACCAAGGAAAGGGAAATTTTGAGATGTCGAGTAGGCAAACAAACCCAAAATAAGGCAGTCTAAGACCTGCAAAGGCCAGACTCCCCCTCTAAAATCTAAAAGACTGTGGGCAAGTAAAAGAAAGCGGTGCCACAAGAGGATTTAAAATGCGCGTCTTGACACAAAGGGAGTGTAGTCTCCCAGCCGGTCTGGAGGAGAGAGAAGGCGGGGAGAAGTCAGTGTGAGCAGGTGGGAAGAGTGCGCCCGCCCCCCCGCCCCGCCCCGGAGGAAACTTCCTGTGGGTGGATCTCTAGTCAGAACTGAGCCGATCCCCAAACCACTGCTGGGCGGGCCGGACAGACCCAGGAGCACCGCATGTAGATGTTTTTCTGTTGCTGCCCACAGACCTTTATTT